AACCCCTGTGGTGCAGACAGGTCCTGAGGGGAGCTCCTGGGGGTGGTTTGGGGCCTGGGTACAGCACCCTGTTGGAGGGGTGGGTGCTGCATGGCCTGTGCTGTTCTGCTGGGAGCTGAGGAGAATCGGGTGGGCTCAAAATACACACGGAAATAAAACCACCCTGCCTGCTGGAGCAGCTGGAGAGCCTGAGGTGAGCATGGGGCAGCCCTGGAAAATGGACAGCTCAACACCCCGGTGTGAGCCTCATCCTCACTTTCCATAGAAATTGCCCATGGCAGGTGAATTTTTCCTCTTGGACAGGGTTGTCTTGCCCATCTGAGTGTGCTTGGCTCTCTGAGGGGCAGCAGCACAGCCAGGAGGGACAGTGGGACAGGAGGGACAGTGGGACAGTGTCCTCATCGACCTCCTGCCGTGCCAGGGGAGGAGGGAGCTTCCTTTTCCAACCTGTCGTGACTCATGGAACATCATCCCAGGAGGAGGCGGCGAGACTGAATCAGTGCTGCCTGAGGACACGCTGGGAGAGGGAACGTGAGCGTGGGCAGCTCCAGCCCCCTGCTTTGCTCCAGAGCTTTCCTTCCTTCCTTCCTTCCTCCCTTCCTCATGCCCACCCACCTGTGCTGTGCTTGTCCTGAGGGGATGGGAGGGGAAATTCAGCTCCATGTGGTGCTGAGCTCTTCCCTGGAGCTGAAGCTCATTTCTGGTGCCTGCAGGGCCAGGCTGGAGCCTGGGATTGGGTTTGGGTTTGGGTTTGGGTTTGGGTTTGGGTTTGGGTTTGCTCAGAGAGGTGCTGTTTTCCTGCAGAAGCCCTGATGAGCTGTTTTTGTTTTCAGGAGCTGCTTCCAGGGTTTGTCTTTCCAAGGTGGGGAAAAGCCCAGAGGTGCTGCTGGAGCTTGTGAGGAGCCTTTGCTGGGCTGTGCCATCCTCTGATGGCAGCAGTGTGGGAGCCCTGGGCTTGAGGGCTCTAATGAAGCTAATGAGGGTGCTTAGAGGAACACAGAACTCATTTCTCTCTCAGCATGGAAAGCTCCTGGGGGAGCTGGGCTAAGCCAAGGCACAGGATGGCAGCAAACACTGCCCAAATCTCAGAGGTGCCAGCCTGCTGGGAGGGGAGCTGGAATACGGCTGAAAGCTGAATTTCCTCCCTAATTGCCAGCAGGGTGGAGTGGCTCTTTCCCTGTTCTCCCTCCTTTCCTGCAGGGAGGTGCCCCAGTGGGGAGCAGAGATGGGATGGGGCAGAGCTCTGGGCTGGCACAGCTGCCCTGTCCCCCGTGATGCTGAAGGGACACTGGGGTGCTCTGTGGTGATGAGCTGATGTCTGGAGATGTGCAGAGGCTGCAAACCTGGACACCTGCAGCACCCAACAGCCGTCATGGGAAAGGGCTGCAGCTCCTCCCGTGTGACTCCTGCCCGGATTTGCTCGAGGTGGTGGCAGAGCTTCCTCGCAGCGCTGCCCTTGTGCCCTGCCCGGGGACACTTGTGTAACACAGGGATCTGATTACTGCCCTGCTCAGCCCCAGCCCTCCTCTCCAGCAGGAGCAGGCAGGAACTGCAGCGTTTTCTGCCTGAAATAATGAAGAGTTTGGTCTCCCTTCATTGGAAGGGGAGCTGGAGCTAAGAGCTGGACAAGCTGAACTGAGAGCAGCTGTCGGGAGCTCAGCAGCTCGTCCCGGCTGCTGCCATCGAAGGGTTAACTCTGCTTGTGTTCCAGATTACTGGCTTGCAAAATCATCCGGGGTGGCACAGGGGCATTCATCCTTGCTGAACCTCAGGGGAAACATGAGGTGATTTTCCCATCCCAGCCTCCTTGTTGGGAGCCAAGAAATCCAAATGCTGCCGCAGCCAGAGGCTGCCGGGGCAGCGGAGCTGAGTGAGGGCCTGGGCAGCGTTGTCACACCCCCAGAATGGATGTGGGGTGCCAGGATGTCACCCACCCCAGGTTTCAGTGCTGGCTGGGGAGTGGCAGGGAAGCTTGGCAGCTGTGGGAGCGGCTGGCTCTCCCCTGAAGAGGACAGACTGGAGGCAGTGCTGCTCCTGCCCCACCGCTGGGTCATGCTTAGCACGTTCCCGGTGTCCCAGGGCACAGGGAGGTGCCTGTGCTGAGTTTTGGGGTGCTGCTGGGGCTGCCATGGCTTGCCTGTTGGATTATGATATTTTCCTGACCCAAAGATGGGGCAACTGAGAGGTGTTTTAAACAACTTTTATTCCATTTTCAGTCTCATGTGAAGGGTGAGACAATGCAGTGTTACAATTCACGCCATCACAATCAGAAGTTGACTGTTCCCTAATTACAATACATTGTAAGCGTTTCTTGGCCCATCAGCTTTCTTAATATCATAAAATATACTGAGAGTTCATTAAAATCATAGAGGAAATATTCTTACAACCTGACAGTGGCAGGTCATAAGAGGCAAATATACTTTTCACGTCCTTCCTGCAGCAGCAGCGGGGAGTGCATCTGGCCTTCAGCTCCCCCCTCATGGGAACATTTCCTAAATTAACCAAATCATTGCCTTAATGAGGACTAATCTGCTCCTCTCTAAGCCTCTCCATCACCTGTCCATGCAAAGCCAGCAGGGGAGCAGAGGGAGCAGCTGGATCACAGCTGGGTGTTCCGAGAGCACCGGGGCAGCTCTTTGCTCCCGGAGCTTGTCTGGGTACAAAAACAAACGTCAGGGCCCTGCCGGTGCAGGTAATGGAAGCTGCTGCCTTCTACTTCATTAGAAATCCAATTAATCTCCTATAAAAGCACTCGGAGTGACCTCTAAAAATGGGATGTATTTTGCTGTACCTCTGCTGTTTGTCTTGTGCAGAATGATGTTAACTAGCTGCTTCCTGCTGGTCCATTTTCCCGGCGCATAATTACAAATTGTTTTGTTTTTCTCTTTTCTCTTCAGCTTCCTGGCTCCCCACGCCAGGCTCTTCAGAGTGGGGCTGCAAATAGCCAGGCTTTTCTCCAGTCCCCTCTGCCTGGCTCCTCGGGGGGCTGCTGTTACTCTTGCTTATGGTTTTGGCTTCTGCAGGGTGCAGTTTTTAGGGTAATTAAGCAATGGAGGAGCAAGGAGGGGCTGTCCAACCTCCTGCCCTGCCTTCCTTTTGCCCTGAGCGTGTGAGCGATGTCCAGGAGTTGTGCAAAGGTTGGCTTTGGCCACTTTGGTCCTTGCAGAGCTTCTGCAGGTTTGGTGCCAGCAGCCTCCCACAGTTCCCACAGGTTTCCTCTGCCTGGGGAGGCAGGAGAGCTGGGGAGGTGTGACCAGAGCTGGGGATGGTGTTTTGGGTGGGTGCTGTGTGTTTGGGGTGGGTGCTGTGTGTTTCAAGTGGGTGCTGTGTGTTTCAGGTGGGTGCTGTGTGTTTCAGGTGGGTGCTGTGTGTTTCAGGTGGGTGCTGTGTGTTTTGGGTGGGTGCTGTGTGTTTGGGGTGGGTGCTGTGTGTTTCAAGTGGGTGCTGTGTGTTTGGGGTGGGTGCTGTGTGTTTGGGGTGGGTGCTGTGTGTTTGGGGTGGGTGCTGTGTGTTTCAGGTGGGTGCTGTGTGTTTTGGGTGGGTGCTGTGTGTTTGGGGTGGGTGCTGTGTGTTTCAAGTGGGTGCTGTATGTTTGGGTGGGTGCTGTGTGTTTCAGGTGGGTGCTGTGTGTTTGGGTGGGTGCTGTGTGTTTGGGGTGGGTGCTGTGTGTTTCGTGTGGGTGCTGTGTGTTTCGGGTGGGTGCTGTGTGTTTGGGTGGGTTCTGTGTGTTTCAGATGGGTGCTGTGTGTTTGGGTGGGTGCTGTGTGTTTCAAGTGGGTGCTGTGTGTTTCAGGTGGGTGCTGTGTGTTTCAGGTGGGTGCTGTGTGTTTGGGGTGGGTGCTGTGTGTTTGGGTGGGTGCTGTGTGTTTCGGGTGGGTGCTGTGTGTTTGGGTGGGTGCTGTGTGTTTGGGTGGGTGCTGTGTGTTTGGGGTGGGTGCTGCAGGGCACATCCTGTCTGTGCCTTTCCCGAAGGATGGCAGATCCATCCCTGGGCAGGAATGCAGATCTCCAGGGTTACTCTGCCAGGGTGGCACCATCACCGAGTGCTGCATCTGGAAACGGGCGCTGTGTGGATTTTGGGAGTTAATCCTTGTTCCTGTGAGATCCCCACTGCGCCAAGAACCACCCTGGGTCCTGCAAACATCCCAGGGCTGATGCTCCTCTGCTCCTGGAGCGTGCTGGGGAGAGCTCAGAGGGGTCAGAAGGGCTTTTCTGTCTAAATCTCGGTGAAATGGCCAAACCTGCTGTTTCCTGCAGGGTGGGGGTGTGCTTCCACATCCCCCTGCTCACTGCTGCTCCAGAGGCCCAGCCCGGCCCCAAAGCTGCTGGAGACAGGAAGGAAAATGAACTGTGCTCAAGATAGACACGTTTGTTGTTCTATATTTAGGAGCACAATAATTAAGGCTGCTTGTTTATCCTGACAAACATCATAACTAATTGTCTATGGCAGACAAGCAACTCCTTCCTGCACCTGGGAACTCTGAGTTGTCTTTGGGAAGGGCAGGGGGCTCATTAAAGAGCTGTAATTTAGGGAACATCTGGATGTTTGCTTTGCCCCCTCCCCAGGCACAGGCTCTGAATTTGTGGTGAGGGAGTTTTTGTGTTCAGGGAGCAGCAGGCTGATGGATGGGAAATGATGGGGGACAGCAAAGCAAAGGTGAGAGTGAGGATGCTCGGTGGCACCCAGGGGTGCAGCAGTGGAGGTATCAGCGTGCAGAATGGCTCATAAATGCAGTAGATCTTGCTGGTGGGGCACTGGGAGGTGGCAGGCAGCCCGAATAAGCTTTTATGAACCTCGGGAGGGAGGGCAAGCCGAGGGCAAACGGCTTCTCAGTGTTCCCACTAGATGGGGATGGAGGCATTGTCAGAGCGCTCACTGCGCCCGCAGGCAGCACCCGGCCCTCGCCCCGCGTCCCCTCCGCTGGCCACGGTGCCAGCCGGGGGTCACGGCCCGGTTCCCGGGGTGTCTCGGGGCTGACGGGGTGTCCTTTCTCCCGCAGATGCTGCAGGACTGCCCCAAGGCCCGCAGGGAAGTGGAGCTGCACTGGCGAGCGTCGCAGTGCGCGCACATCGTGCGCATCATGGACGTCTACGAGAACCTCTACCAGGGGAGGAAGTGTCTGCTCATCGTCATGGAGTGGTGAGCGCCCGGCCGGGGGCACTGCAGGGGCTGGGGCGCTGCCAGGAGCGGGGTGGGCACCTTCCAGCCCTGGGGACACCGGGGGGACGCAGCGTGAGCTGCAGGGCTGGCAGCCCGGGCAGAGGAGCGGCGCGGCTGGCGTTGGAGGGACGGGGACAGCGAGGGCTGCTGGCTCTGAGTCATCCTGAAACAGCTCGGCTCGGGGCCTGTGGTTCTCACTGGTGGGTCATAACCAAACTGCCTTTGGCCAGCAAAAGCCGGGGTAGGCAGCGGGTTCCTGGCAGCCTGCGGTGGGGCAAGCCGAGCTGGCACCGCTGGTGCTGCCCTGGCACCGCTGCAGCAGCAGCTGAGCAGCTCTGGTTTGGGTAGGAGCTTGGTATGAAGCTGGGGACGAGGAGGAGGGATGAAGGGGAAAGTATTGAAACCACATCCCAACCGCAGCTGTGATTTGATGCCGCTTCCTTGCCAAAACCTCTCCTCTGGCAAGCTGGTAGATCGCCCGGGGGGGCAGCGGGTGCAGGAGCGGTGCCAGGGCACGTGGCACAGCAGCCCCCAGAGCAGGTCTTGTGGGGAAGCAGGCACCTGAGACCCACCCTGGCTCTCTGGGCAGCCAGGGATGGGGAAGGAGTGGCAGTGGGGAAAGCAAGAATGGCTGAGGGGTAGGAGAGTCCCCAGGACTGTGTGACCGAGGGATGCTCTGGGGGTAACAACCATCACCAGGCAGGATTTGACTTCCAGCAGGAGCAGGCTCTGGATCCTTCCTGGCAGGGTCTGGATCCCTCCTGACAGGCTCTGGATCCCTCCTGACAGGCTCTGGATCCCTCCTGACAGGCTCTGGATTCCTTCTGACAGGCTCTGGATCCCTCCTGACAGGCTCTGGATCCCTTCTGGCAGGCTCTGGATCCTTCCTGGCAGGCTCTGGATCCCTCCTGACAGGCTCTGGATCCCTCCTGGCAGGCTCTGGATCCCTCCTCCCAGGCTCTGGATCCCTCCTGGCAGGCTCTGGATCCCTCCTGGCAGGCTCTGGATCCTTCCTGGCAGGCTCTGGATCCCTCCTCCCAGGCTCTGGATCCCTCCTCCCAGGCTCTGGATCCCTCCTGGCAGGCTCTGGATCCCTCCTGGCAGGCTCTGGATCCCTCCTCCCAGGCTCTGGATCCCTCCTCCCAGGCTCTGGATCCCTCCTGGCAGGCTCTGGATCCCTCCTCCCAGGCTCTGGATCCCTCCTCCCAGGCTCTGGATCCCTCCTCCCAGGCTCTGGATCCTTCCTGACAGGCTCTGGATTCCTCCTGACAGGCTCTGGATCCCTCCTCCCAGGCTCTGGATCCCTCCTGGCAGGCTCTGGATCCCTCCTCCCAGGCTCTGGATCCCTCCTCCCAGGCTCTGTGCAGCAGAGGGCCCCGAGGGCTGCAGGCTATTGCTACTGCAGATGTCATTGCATGTCAAGGAGATGCTATCAGCACTGGGAAAGCCAAACTGTTCCTGTTTCAGGCAGATAAGGCAGGGGCAGGAAGTGCCATTTTCCCTGCTCTCATGGAGAATTCCCCCATACCTCAGTCCTGATCTCTGTGGGAGCTGTGTTTTCCCTGGGGTAAAACCACAGGGAGCCTGGGGAGTACCTGGGGAGGGAACCCCACCAATGGTTCTCCAGCACCTCCCATGGGACCTGGCTGTGCTGCAGTGGGGTGCAGCCTCTGTGTCCCAGCTTGGGGAGCCCGTTGTGACACTGCTGATGTCTCAGCCGTGCCCTGAGCTTTGCTCAGCACTCCTGTGCTGGGTCGTGGTGCTGCTGAGGCAGTTGGCTCGTGAGCAAAAGGAGGCCACATGTGCTGGGAGTGCTCTCACCGACTTCAAGCCACATTTGCTGCCTTTACTGTAAATGTGTTTCTGTGGGCTGCTGGGGTGACCACGCCTGCCTGCGCCTCTGCCAGCACAGAGCCTCTGCCCTGCTGGTTTTGGGAAGGAAACGCCCCAGGAAGCACCGACCCAAGGACTTGGATGGAGAAGGGGATTTGACATTCCCCCCCACCCAGCTCCCTAAATTATCAGGCTAGCCCAGAGGTCTGAGGCTTTGAGGGGAGGAATATCAGGAGATGGCAAAGATTGCCAAAAGAGGCTCTTACCCCAGATATGTTGGTTCAGCTCTCTTTAGTGGTGTCCAAGGGGAGAGCAAAGGAGGACAAAGAGGAAATGTCAGGGGTCTGTACAGACTTTGGACAGGGTGGGCTTCCCTGGCTCTCCCCCAGCCCCGTTGGGGCAGGAAGGAGGGTCCAGGGTTATCAGATCAGAGTCACAGGGTCCCAGGAATGGGGCACAGAGTGCCCACGAGCTCACTGTGACAAGGATTGTTCCCTGCTCAGCAGCAGGGTTTGGTGCTGGCAGTGGGAGGTGTGACAGCAGCTGCTTCTCTTCCAGCTTGGACGGCGGGGAGCTCTTCAGCCGCATTCAGGACAGGGGAGACCAGGCCTTCACTGAACGGGGTACGGAGCCCACGCCCTGCTGGGCTTTCAGGCCAGTCCACCCCCTCAGTGACTCCTCTGAATCCCCAGCAGAGCTCTGCACCCAGGGAATGAGGGATGTGGGTGCAAGGGGCCCTGCTTTCCATGTTCACGTGGAATAGGCTTAGGGGGTATTTTCTCAGCTGCTCCCACACTCTGTCCATCCCACTCTGGTCAGAAACACCCACCTCTCTCCAAAAATTAAGTCCATAGATCTCATTAATCTCATTCCCTCTACTCCTCTGGCCGGGAAAAGCAGCCACACAACCCAAAATCTGAGCCCCTTGCCCCTTTGACTTCCCATCCTAAAGGGAAACCTTTCCCAGCTCGATTCCTTGCTGCTTGGTGTCCTGAACACCCAAGTTTGCACCTTGGGGGTGCAAGCCCCTCCTTGGTATTAGTGTCGGGGGCTGGACTGCCCCATGCCTTCCCCTGGAGTTTCTGGGAGTTGCAGGCTCCTTACCAGGGATGGGCAGTGGCAGAGACCCCATGGAAAGGGGAACTCCCAGCAGAGAAAAGCCCTTTGACCTCAGCCAGGCTCTTTGACTCTCGGTCTGTAGAGTCCCCCAGAGAGCAGTGCCCTTTTTAACTTGCTTCTGAAGGCTTCTGGTGGTTTCTTTGCTGCTTCAGAGGCCTCGGAGATCATGAAGAGCATTGGGGAAGCCATCCAGTACCTGCACTCGATCAACATCGCTCACCGGGACGTGAAGGTACCGCCCTGAGCCCTCCCCTGGCGGTGCTGAGTCCTCCCCTGGTGGTGCTGAGCCCTCCTTGGCAGTGCCAGGGCCAGGCTGGCCCAGCCCTGCTGCTCACTCCCTGCCCCCTGCGTGTTCCCAGCCGGAGAACCTCCTGTACACCTCCAAAAGGCCCAACGCTGTGCTCAAACTCACCGACTTCGGCTTCGCCAAGGAGACCACCACGCACAACTCCCTGGCCACGCCGTGCTACACGCCCTACTACGTGGGTGAGTGCCTGGGGGGCTGGGCTGGGGGGTTTGGAGGGTTGGGGGGCAGAGCTGGGGGGTTTGGAGGGTTGGAGGGCAGAGCTGGGGGGTTTCAAGGGTTGGGGAGCAGAGCTGGGGGGTTTGGGGGTGCCCCGTGCAGCTCATCACCTCTGCAGCCAGCCTGGAGTGCTGAGCTGCAGCAGGGAGCTGGGGGCTGCTATTGGACATGAAATGAGTACATGGAAGTTTGGTAAGTTCAAAAGAGAAAAATAGCTGATTTTATTTCTGACTTTGTAATAGATAGAATTCCAAAAGTGGCAGTGGGTTGGAGGATGAAATTCCCACCTCTCCAACCACACTGGTCAAACCAACAGTCCATCAGTTCTCTCTTTCTACAAAGAACAATGCAAAACAATCATTATTTACATGAGCAGTGCTTGAGAACACCAGTAGAAATATGTAAATATCAGAAGGCATAGAAAACTTTTAAAAGAACTTTAAAACTTTCAAAATAACTATAAAAGAAAATGTAACACTTCTAAAACTCAGGGCAACCGCAGGCAGCTCTTCCCACAGTCCCCGGTGGGAGCTGCAGGTGCCTCTTGGTGCTTCCATAGGTGTGGGAATGCAGAGCTTCCCTCTGGCTGCCCTGGCAGGTCTGGGACCCTGGAGGGGTCAGGAAACCCCTGGACAGAGCCCCCAGAGACACTGGCTGTGATCTCTGTCCATGGAAAAGAGTTTTCAATCTTACAGGATCAATTTCCAGCTCTGAATGTTTGATATAAATAATAATTAAGTGTGGCACGGGTGCAAAAGTAAAATTTTAGGATTCTAGATGAGGCGTCCAAAGGGGACAAGAGGGAGGAAATTGGGTGTGCCTTGTCCTTTTTCTCCTTCTTCATGCCCTCCATGTCTCACTGTGGTGTTGGCATTTTTCTGTTGGTTCAGGCTGGGGACACACTGTCCAACGTAGGTGACAGATATTGGCACGTTCTTGTAAATGCAGCCCAGGGAGTTTCTGGTATTGAATGTTTGTCACATCCCACTGAGGGCAGAGCCCCACACGCTGCCCTGCAGGACAGAGCTGGGCAGGGCAGCAGAACATGTGAGAGATCAACAGAATAAACAACCTGGAAACCAGCACAGACCAATTATGGCTTCTGCTTTGGCAGCGGGCTGACAGACAGAGACTTTTACAATCTCAGAGTCATCAACACCTCAGATTCCAACACATAGGGTGTCAGAGCCCTCTCACCAGTGCTGACACTCAGATTTAGGATTTTCTTTCTGTTTTTCTTTCTGTTTTTACCAGCCCCAGAAGTGCTGGGCCCAGAGAAGTACGACAAGTCCTGTGACATGTGGTCCCTCGGTGTCATCATGTATATTCTGTAAGTCTGAGGGTTCCTCAGGGAACCTCAGGGCTCCTCCTGCCGTGCTCCTCCTGCTCCTGGCACTGCCTTGTGCCCTCTGGGAGCTCCTGGGGAGGTTTTTGGGGTGGCACATTGACTCTGTCCCCCTCCTGGTGCAGGCTGTGCGGGTACCCCCCCTTCTACTCCAACCACGGCCTGGCCATCTCTCCGGGCATGAAGAAGCGAATCCGCATGGGCCAGTACGAGTTCCCCAACCCCGAGTGGTCCGAGGTGTCGGAGGAAGGTAAACCTGGTGCCCGTGGTGCCCGTGCCCAGGCTGGGCTCTCCTGGTGAGGGCTGGCAGAGCCTGGCAGTGCCAGGGGTCACCTCCCAGCATCTGCACCTCAGCTGGAGGGTTTGTGCAGGGCTGGGAGTGCGGCACAGGAGGGCACAGAGGAGGGAATGCAGGGGGAGCAGAGGATGGCACAGAGGAGGGAATGCAGGGGGAACAGAGGATGGCACAGAGGAGGGCACAGAGGAGGGAACGCAGGGGGAGCAGAGGATGGCACAGAGGAGGGAACGCAGGGGGA